TCTCCTTATTCGTTATCCATTTTTATGTACAATTCTCTATTTATTTATACTTAGCTACTTATGACCAAATATTATTTACCTGAGCTTTTAAATATGATTCAAAGCAATCCAAAATATGATTTAAACCAAAGGTTTACATAGGACTTAAACCAAAGTAAACCAACCATGATTTAAATCAAACCAAGGTTTGTCTATACCGTTACACCTCCATAACTTTACTTCTCAACCTGCAAAGTCTTAGGTAACCATCCAGGTCATTCCTGCTGATAACAGAAGGTCTTACCAATCGCCCCCTTTGCTCCTTACCTCCATAAAAGAGACATCTTGTCTTGTAATATTGAGCAAGTGCAGATTGCCAATGAAAGGGAGTGGGGTAGGTCCCGGGGGCATACGCCGAGATGACCAGCCGAGCTTGCTCAGAGACAGACTTGCTAATAGCAGTAGTAAAATCAAGGAGATGATGATGGTTGGGTTGAGGAGGAAGGATATCCAAGGAGCCATGTTGACCGTAGCTTTGGAGATGAAGAATGGGGAGAGGCGCTAATGGAGCAAGTTTAGAAAAAGCATTGTTATTTGGTAAGAAACCAACTTGGCAATTTTTCACAGGGTTTGTGAAATGGCCCAGACCAGTGTTCCAACTTTCTTCACAAGCCCGCTTGGCTGTGTCACTCAAAATGTCAACACCTCCTTGGTCGCTTCAACAGAGAAATCTTGTGGTTTTACTCAGGAAGGCATCCACCATTCTCAAGACTCGGTCAAATTCTGGACAGCCCAAAGGCAAAATCTGGTCAGGATTCAATCCAATTTTTCTCCCCCCAACATGAGCTTTTTCACCATGAAGAAGTTGAGTCAAAAAATGTACTGATTGAAGGCACATTCCATCTTCGATTTGCATCCAAGGAAGAATCCAGAGAATTCATTTCATCTGAAATTGATCAGAGGCCATCTGTCAACAAGTGGACACTTGGCTAAGAGAAATAGGAGAGTGTTAGACCTCAAATCAGCAGATTAGAAGAAATGTGTTAATGTTCAGTGCATGTTGGCAAGAATACAGAATCCCTTGAAATGCTGGTCTTTTGTAACTCAGAGAAGGAATAATTGGTGGAATCTAGAGGAAGTTGGTGGATCTTACATTGGTCTCCATCCGAGGAGGCAGGCCTCCTTGCTGTAGCCCCATGGCTTCCTCTCTCCCCCCCCCTTTTTTTGGAACAATTTTCATTGCAGAAAGCCTAACTTCTGTCCATTAACTTTTCCAAGCCATGATTTGCAGCCCTAGCAAAGACTTTTGCTTTGCACAGAGGATCCAGAATCTCTCAGCATATTTATCTTTGGCCACAAGGGAAGTCAAGACCTCCTCCATTGCTTGAAGCCCTTGTGAGATGGGAAGGGATCTTAATCCTACATATCAATGAAGTCAGCCTTCCTGAGATTTTCCCCACGTGGGAGATGTTTTTCATAGACCAGATCGATCTATCTATCTATCTATCTATCTATCTATCTATCTATCTATCTATC